GGGTTCAATTCCAGACCCAAAGGGCAACTAGGAGCCATAGTCTCCGGGGTTCCACCAGGCTCTATCAGACCAGCAAATCTAGTCCCCTTTTTTATGATTTTGAATTTTGTTCCACATAATCTCACTATATCCAGGATCTCCTACATAGATCCCCCTCCAAGTGACAACCATCACTTTAAAACAACTGACAACATGCCAGAATGAGGGTTCAAATCAGGATTTTTTTTTCTTTCTAAACATTTATTTATTGATGACAACACAGATTACATTACCTATTGATCAGAGCCTACTGGGGGTCCAAGGACATTTATTCTAGAAGCTTCCTTCCAGCTTTTACTCAGGACCACCTGAACAGTGAACAACAAAAGCAACTCTGGCTGATTCTTACCTTAATGTTGCATGCTAGGGCTTTCCCATCATCTCCTTTAAGCATCAACTTCATCCCTCGAAGGGACTCCATAGCTTTTACAAAGTCAGTTGACTCTTGGTATTGTATAAAGGCCTCAAATGTCTGCAAGCCAAAGCTAAAACTTCCAAAGCTCCCACCAGTCATGACTTCTCTATAGGGGTCAAGCATTGGGATATCTACATTCTTGATCTTCCCAAAACTTTCAAAGACCACACGAAGAATCTCTTCACATGGCTTCTCCCCACTGGAACCTTTAGGTGCAAACCACTTACAGGGCAAGCCTTCGAAATATATGGAATCTGGGCTCTTATCATGGTCTGGCTCTTCAGTCCCATCACTCAATGAGGTCTCCTTTGCCTTGGGGAAATGTTCCCACTCTCCCTGGGCATCTGTGGCCACTACTTTTAAGTCTGTTTTCAAACCGTTTAGCTTGATGATCTTCCCATGTAACTTGGCCTTCAGGATCTGAACCAAACTTCGGGTTTCAGCCTCACCCTCGAATCGGATGAAGTCCTTGGTGCTCTTGGAGAGCCGGACTGTGGTGAACTGGTCAGGGCAAATCAGGCTCTTCAGTTGATCAAGAACTTCCCAGTTAGAGAAGGGCCTCACAGGTTCTGTACTCTCTGGGAGCAATACATTGATCATCAATTTTGCTATGGGCTTGAGGTAGAGGTGCTGAGCTGCACAGAGCTCTGTTGCCTCAGAGTTATCATACACTACTGTGACTGTCATGGTGGCCTCAGGATCCCTGAGAGGGAAAAGGAGAGAGATTTATAAATAGAGCAAAAAACTGATTTGAATTCTGAAACAGTGCATGTATTTCTTTTAAGCCCATTGCTGGGCTTATGCTAAATTCATAGAAGGGAAGCACACTATGGGTAGAAATTAAAATGATATCTTACATTTGTTTAATGTATCTGAGAGTTCTCAAAAGAGTTTTCATATACTATATCTCAGTTTTCTCAACTGTAAAATAGTGATAATCGGGATTCTGGAAGGATTAAATGAGTGAGTACACGTGAATTCCTCAGAATACTGCCTGGCACACAGGAAGTTCTTAATAAACATAATCTATGATTATTATTATCAGTGGGAGCTCAGGTGGTGTAGTGCCTAAGGCATTTGACTGCTAACCAAAAGGCTGATGGTTCAAACCCACCAGCTACTCCTCGGAAGGAAGGTTGGGCAATCTACTTCTGTAGAGATACCGCCTCAGAAACCCAAAGAGGGGTCACTATGAGTTGGATCTGACTCGACAGCAGTGAGTTTGGTTTATGATTATTATTAGTAATAATAGTATTACTTTATCTCATTTGATTCATGAAGCAACCTGTGCATAGGTAGTTTCACATCTGCTTTATAGTGTGGAAAATTCTGATAGATTCAAGGAAATTAAATGACTTGTCCATACATTGAGACTTCAAGATTCCAAATCCCCAATGAATTGTACAACTGTTCTCAAACATAAAGTTCTATGAAAACCTGCTGGAGTGATATGGAAACAGGGCAAGGGAAAGTACATGTAGCGCATTCATGAATCTGCACCCAACTGCTAGTTATAACTTATGCCCGTGATTTAGTATCTTTTGTCTAGAATGGTCTCCAAGTCTTACATAGAGATACCTACACTCCTATTCTTCCAGTCTGCTGACTTTAACTAAATAGAACTACAAATATAACTAAATAGAACAATAAGTTCAAGTTAGGAAGAGAAAGCCTCTTCTACTGAATGGTAAAGTCAAGTTGCCCTCTAAAAACTCCAAAACATGAGTGCTTACTGGTATTTCATACTAACAAATTCTTTCTTTTAAGCTGTTTCAAGATGAATCAATCACTAAAGCTGGGAATAAGGGATTTTGGTTCCCATTTGCTTAGTTGGGAGCTCTGGTGGTGTAGTGCCTAA